GGTATTGTATTATTAATTGTGAATGCGTCATCGGCGTTTCATACATGTACACGCTTTTGCGGCCGTTCTGGAGGGCGGCCGCTGTAGGTTGTCCTACGCTGAATGTGCCCTGAAAGTCCATCCCGGAATGTTTGGAAACCCGAGTCGGACTTTTTGACGTTTACACTAACCACAACTCGGGAGATTTTAACCCGGGTATTGGAAAATCCCGGGTTATGTCTGGAATGTTGCTTGCAGTGTAAAAGGGGTATAACACATTTTATTACTATTTTACTATAATTTATTCTTCTGATGAGTGGCTTGGTGACGGGGCGAGGTTGTGACTTGCAGGTTTTTTGGAGGTCTTAGTTTTTTTGTGTATTACTAATTCCTTTAAATTATTAATAATAATAGGGCATATATATAATTAAGTTATGAAGGGCCTATTTAAAGTCCTTATATATGATTTGTGTCTCAATCATAAGTTAAAGTATGCGATGATTATAAATGTGTTAGTATGCTGGCATATACTGTCTCACGTTTTTTTGTTTTGGCCATGTTGATATTTATAATCTATTTGTCAATTTATCATCCCACAATTAAGGAGTATTTTGGTGTGAATCTTAATGGGAACCAGTCAACTCGCCCCCTAGAAAAGTTGTCCTTTGCCCCAAAATACATTGATCTTATTTGTAAATTTGTGATTGTACGTTCTGTTGTAAATTGTTCATCTTTTTCTTCAGATAGATCAGCATATGAGTTGGTTCAGCAGCTTACTATACAATGGCAGAGTGCTCAGAATGCATGAGCACTGACTGTGGACTAAAGCTTAGATGTGTGCACTCGCTCTGTCTGCAATGTCTTCAAAACATGTATAACGATAATCAAACGATCAAGTGCACAATATGTGATAAAGGTGCTAAAAAACAACGCATTTCTAGTGAACATTCAGTTCTTGATGCAAGTAATGTTGCCGACCATGTATTAATTCAAGAGAAGTTTGTCATTAAGTTAACGACTAAAAATCACAACAGTAAGGCCGAGCATGACAAATGTTTGAAGGTAGAATGCAAGCTGATTTCAGTATCAGGAAATGAGAAAGAAATGAGCATGGAAAACCATCGTGATGGGACTTATGATTTTTCTGGATGCTGTGATGTAGGTGGTGTATGGGAGCTGCGTTGTTATGTTAATGATTTGCAAATCAGGCAGTCACCTTTGAAAGTAAATGTAGTCAAGGGGGGATTGCAAGAACATCCCAATATATTCAAAGACAAAGAGGATGCCAGTTTATATATGTTTGATATTGTAGATGACACAGTTTATGCTTGTGGAGGGATTAATGAAATTGCAAAGTTGACGCTGAAGGGGGAACTCATAGGTACCATATATGGTCATAAATCGTGCCAGTTCACAAGCTTATGCTGTGTGAATGTTGAGGGCGATTTGTCGATTGTGTGCTACGATGAATACATGAAAAGACTTTTGATTTACATGAAAGAGAGCTGGCATGAATGGAAAGGCATTAAGATTGAGTCTGTCTTTGGCAAGATGATAGCGCATAACCATAAGATCTATGTTCCTGATTTTGGAAAACATCGTGTGTTGTGTTTTTCCATGAAAGGAGAATTGGTAAACAAAATTGAAGGTAGAAATTATAAGAATGTGAAATTATCAAAGCCATATGGTGTAGCTATGACAAAGCAGGGGAATATGTTAGTCCTTTCTTACGGAGATGACCAGGTGGTAAAGATTGTCAAGGATGGCAAGGCTGAAGTTTTGATAGAAAACACGGATTATGAAAAATTATTGTTTTATGCTTATGCTATTGACATTGATGAACAAGGTCAAATCATTATTGGTTGTTGCAGAAAACTACTACTGTTTAATCAAGATGGGAAATTTATTAAAAACATCGACATAGAGAAAAATGTCCCAGATTGTCCTTACAGTATTTGTTGCAGAAATAGATGTATTTGGGTTTCAGATAAAAGTGATTCTTCGCTTCGGCTTTACTATTATTGAAACAGGTTATAGAGATACAGTATATACTGTACAGTATGTCAATAAAATTTGACACCTTTAAACATTCAGATAAATACCAAGTTGATCATTTAGAAGGATGTTCTTCTGACGAGACTAAATGAAAACAATTTATTTTTCACTGAATTACAATACAATTAAGAATGCATCTTCATTCAACATAACATCCTTTTAATATTATTGGATGCACCCTTCTTAAAAATATTATAAGATTCTGCATGTGGCCTCATCTTTGGAATTGGTATTACAGCTCCCAGCCACCAAGTTCTTATGTGAATGAATGAACAGTATCATTCACAGATATAGGCCTAGATGTGTAAATTGAATTAAAATGAAATAAAATACAAATGCAAATTTTAGCCTGACAGTGAGTGTTTTCAAGAACGAATTGATTCATTTTATTAAGTTCTTGAATGATGTGGTACTAATCACTGAATTTTATATTATTTGAATGTGCAAAATAAAATTATAAATGATAAACATAACCATGTAGCATTTTGTAGACCGAATTGATTCACTTGTTAAGTAATGAATTGCTAATTATAATACTGGAATTTAAAAAAAGATACAAATAATGCAATAGTGAAAATTCAATGTAAAGAAATATATTCGGCAGTAATTTATTTTTATCATGGTGCTTTAAGGATTTAATTTTTTTCTTTATCTGTTTCTCCATTTAATTGATAGGCCTATATTTAGTTTGTTCAAATTATATTTGTTACTGTACATATATTACTAATTAAGACTGTATTGATAGGATTTTGAACTAGAATATATAATAATGCCAACAAATTTATAGCGCCCAATTCCAAATGAATGATCAAAGACACTGCATGTTATTACCCCTGGCCACTGGCTAATATACAATGGCAAACAAGCACAAAGTGCAACCTTCTCTGCTCTTTGGGGAGTATACCTAGTACCAATGGCGGATCCAGAATTTTTCAAATGAAAGTGGGGGGGGGGGGGCGCAACATATTTAGAATAGATAAGCAAGTTGCGCTAATTTCAATATCCAGTGGCAAGATGGAGGCCCCCTACTGGATCCGCAACTGAGTACTCAGCGCATGCAACTAGTACAAGCAATGCCACAACATCCTACCAGGTACCCTTTATACTTCTGGGGATTGAGAGAGACAAACGTAAATTGACTTGCCCAAGGACACAAGGGACTTAAACAGCGAGAGGTCCGAACACCTGACCCACTTATATCAATCCTAGCCAGCTGAAATAATTTTTTTAACCTTTCTTTTGTCATTTGGTTGTTATTGTAAATGTGTAATAGTTTGGCTGAATAAAGAATGAATGACGGAATGAGCATACCTACATACATGTACAAACCTATACACAAATACAAGATAAAGTAAGAAGTACTGTAAACGTTTTAGATTCTTTTGCAGTTTGGCACTCTCGACCAAAAAAAAAAAACCAAAAACCCCTAGACTGAATTTGACACGACATTATGAATTCGTCAGAAGTAGTGAGGCATAAATGGTTATAGACAGATAGATATGTTCAAAATATGTAGAATGACGTCATGTTTTAATATGCACGTCTTTCATTATAATGGTCTTTGCTTGGACAAAGATCAAAGCACATAAAGTGACCAAAGTTCCGGATAGAAAAACCATGTGTAAAACATAGGAATCCAGGATAGAAGAAGAAAAAATTTGAATAAAAACTGACTTTTTCTGCTAACGCAGAAAAGGTCAGCTAGACTTACTTTTTTTGAAATTTATGTATTAAGCTTCATCACTGCACACACGACGAGGAAAGGTAACAGAGTATAAAGACAGAAAAAGCAGCAAAAAGGGGGGGATGGACAGGTGTCAAGCACCTCTATCAAAGTCCCCCTTGAACCAATTAACGTCACATCAAACAAAATATGTGGAAAATTGTTCGTTATAAGATACGGTACGAAATACTACAAAATACAAGTATAAAAATAGATATACTGTAAATACATTGAACATTAGAAAATATAAATTTCTATATTATTACAAGACAGAAGATAATTTAATTATTATATATTTAATTAAACTAATACATACAATTACATTTTTAAAAAATAGTGAAGAAAAAAATTGGCAAAAATATAAATATCTAGGTAACATAATTGATAAAAAATCGAGATATCAAAAGGAGAAAGATTTAACTGTAGTTGGCTACAATAAAGTAAAATTTGCACTAGAAGATAAACGCTTCCCAACTAATAATACAGAAATGCGACTCTTCAATATATATTTATTGGTATAATATTTTTTATGTAATAGCGAACTGTGGGCAGTAAATGTATCATGGAGGATAACATAATTATTAATCAGCAACATATGCAATGATGAAGAATTAAACTCAACTGAAGTAATTCAAGCATCCACTCCGTTAAGCGATATAAAAGCTGTGCCCACCATAAGTACATTCAATCGCTTTAGAGCTCTTGAAATTGAAGATGATAATGATAACCATGCTGGCAATCAAGAAGATGAGTCAAAAGCTGAAGACACAACCAGAAATAAAACCCAAACAATCCATGATGAGTCTCATACTCCGACGGAAATCCAGAAACAAATATTTAAAGAAACATTGATAATAGGAGACTCTATGTTGAAACATAT